CTTCTTTTCTCTTGCTGCTTTAGGACCCTCTCTTTTGAGAGTTTAATCACTATATGCCGTGGGGTAGTCTTATTTGGGTCAAATCTGTTTGATGTTCTCTGACCTTCTTATACCTGAGTATTTATATCTTTTTCATGTTTTAGAAAGTTAAGTTGTGTGTGTGTATGGGAGCTTTCTTCCCCTTGCTCATGTTCAGCTCTCACCTGAATATCAATAATTCTTATTTGGTCTATTGAGGTCATTTTCTATATCATGCAATCTTCATTTCTTTCTATTATTTCCAGTTTTCTTCTCTGTGTATTTTCAAATAGCCTGTCTTTCAGCTCACTGATTCTTTCCTCTGTTTCATCCATTCTGCTGTTGAGAGCTTTCAGTGAATTTTTTAGTTCAGCAAATGTATTTATTAGTTCTAAGGTTTCTGAGATTTTTATTACATTTCAATTTCTTTGTTTAATTTTTGTGATAAATTTCTGACTTGCTTTTTTGTGTTATCCTAGAGATCACTGAATTTCCTAAAATCTCAGTGAATTATTTCTGTTTCTTGGCTAGAGAGTCCATATGTCATTAGCTTATTAGAGTTAGTCAGTATATTTTTGCTTTGTCTGCAGGCAGAGATCACAATTCCCTGTTTGCTATCATTTCTTATAAATGAATATATACATTACAGGATTCCGGTTTTATCCAACTTGCTTTGGTTTTTATTGGATATGTTTGCTGAGAGATTCTTTGTAATTTACTTGTTGATTTTCTTTTGTTTTTCCACAAGGTCACTGCCTCCTTTTCAGCAGTAGAAAGAACCTTAAGCCCAAAATTGTGTTAGTTCTAGTAAAAAATCAGAGCACCACCCATCCTGAATTGGGAGGTACCAAAGAGGATATTCCAGTAGGATAAGAAAGCTGGCTAGGGGGGTGGGGGGGGGGAACCTATGGAATGACTCTCCCAGCAGGAGCCTACAACTTTTTTTCTGCCATACATTTGAAAATGAAGAGGTGCTAAGGCGCCAGCCACATACACCTAAGGTGGCGGATTTGAATCCAGCCCTGGCCTGCCAAACAACAGTGATGGCTGCAACCAAAAAATAGCCAGGCATAGTGGCAGGTGCCTGTAGTCCCAGCTACTTGGGAGGTGGAGGTAGGAGACTCACTTGAGCCCAGGAGTTGGAGGTTGCTGTGAGCCGTGATGTCACGGCATTCCACCCAGGGTGACAGCTTGAGGCTCTCTCTCAAAAAAAAAAAAAAAGAAAGAAAGAAAATGAAGAGGTATTTGGGCCGTACATTAAATACACAAACAGTAATGAAAGCTGACTAGCAAAAAAGGGGCGGGGCCTGTGCATACTTTTCATGATATCCAACACCACAGGTAAGCAAAAAATGTCCTCACAAAATCAGCATATGGCTTGTGGGCCACAGATCGGACTGTAGGGCTGCTGAATAGCCACTGTAATTTGGCATCTTCTTTCACTGAGTTACAGAGCAGAGTGTCCAGGGCTGAGGATGGTAGCTCTACTTCCCCCCTTTGTCTCTGGCTATTCTCAGGTTTATTTCTTCCTTTAAGCACTCTCAGTTCTTCCCATGTATTGAAGCAGGAATAGGTTTCCTGCCAGAGAACCCACAATAGGGGCAAAGATGGTTGTCCATCTCAATCTCATGTTTTCCAGTATAGAGACCAAGAGTTGAGTTGAGGAAATTTTTCCACATACTAGGTTCCAAGTGGATTAAGGCAAGGGGTGTTGTAGATATGGAAGTTCAGTTATTTTATTTAATTTAATGATAACAGTTTTTTCATTTCTCTGTGGCTCTGGGAATTGTCTCATTCTTATATTTGAGTTCAGGGTTAGTACTGGTGATAATCTAGGCAATATGTGTTTTTTCTTGGTATTTTCTGGGGAGAGTGAAGCAAGCTTGCTTCTACACCACCATTATGGAACCAGAAGTCCTAAAATTATTTTCTTATGTATGTATTTGAGGTGTTTCACATCGCTATTATGATAGAAAGAATTAGTTCTCTTTTATGTTAGGAAAATCAGGACATTGTTAACTAGGTATGTGGCATAATAACTTTGCATGTGATGCCAATCTACTTGAATAATCTTTTGGTCAAGAGAAAAGCATTTGATAAATATTTGACTTTAAATCAGTATAGTCTAAAAAAATGAGACAACGAAGGGAATTGCTTCATACTGAATTAGGAATGGATAGTGATAGGAGTGTGATAGGAAGGTTCGGAGAAATGGACTCATGGTCTCACTAATTTTATTTATCTATTTTTGTGACACAAAGTCTCACTATGTTGCCCTAGGTAAAGTGTCATGGTCTCAAAGCTCACAGCAACCTCAAACTCTTGGGCTCGAGACCCTCCTGCCTCAGCCTCCTGAGGACCCCAGGCACCTGCCATGACACCTGACTATTTTTAGAGATGGGTTCTTGCTCTTACTCAGGCTGGTCTTGAATTCCTGAGCTCAAACAATCTACCTGCCTCGGCCTCCCAGAATGCTAGTCCCTAATTATTTAGAAAGGGAATGTTTGGTGTAGTCATTTGGTTTTCTTGGATTTTAGAAGAGCAAATTTCATAAATTCAGAAAGTAAACATTTCCTCTGGTGTGGCAGAAGGGTTAAAAATTGAGTTACTTCAAAGGAACTGAGATTTTTTTTAAATGGATGTTCTGTGTAAACATAAAGACAATCCTGATGAGGAACAAAAGTGTGCCTTGGTCAGATGTGCTCTAATTAACTTCTAAAGGATGTAACAATGACAAAATAAGTGACATAGCCCTGTAACTCTTTTAGATTAAGGTCAGAATGACCCGAGAATGGGAAAGGCCCTAAAGAGTGCAAAATGGACTTTTAACTTATGTTCACTAAAGCCGGATGGTGAGGGGAGGGGGAACCAACCCAGGAAATGAAAGAACCACTGCTTAAGAAAGATGATGTAATATTAAAACACCACAGAAAGAAGGCAGATCTAATCAACTTCCATTTTGTTTTGTTGTAATCTTTTCTTTTAGAAAAAACAATGACTGGGAAACTAATTTTTAGTACTTAAATATTATCTTTGATAACTAAAATTAATGGTTACAGATAAAAACAAGACTTTTGGGGGAAAAAAAATCTTTCTCTTTTACCATATTCCCACAGGGAGAGGCCTAACATTTTTCTGAGAAAGAAATCACAATCCCTGCCCTGTTATGGAACTTGTGACTTAATTGGGTCCAGAGTAGGGTGCGGTAGGAAGGCATAACTGTAAAACAATTAGACAAACCTCCAGTGAAGCAAATGCAAGATGAGGAGGTGGGATAGACACATGCCTAGTGATGGAATTTCAAATAAGCGAAAATCTGGATATGGAAAGGACTCATCCTGGGTCTTTATGAAGGCAGTAAGACCTTGAACTGAGCTTTAAATAAAACATTCTAACTGAAGGGAAAGCATAAGGGAAGTACTTTCAGTAGAGATAGTAGGTAAATAGAATAGTAATGTTTAAAGAACAAATGGTTCTAAATGGTTTTTATTCTTAATATTTAAATTTGTACTTTTAAGCATACTACTACTGTGTTATCTCACTTAATTTTTAGGTTAATTCTGAAGTTCTGTTGTTAGTTTTTATGCTAATTTTTGTTTTCTTTGGGGGGGTTTTTTTGAGACAGGGTCTCACTTTGTCTTCCAGGCTGGAATGCAGTGGTACCGTCATCACAGCTAACTGCAACTTTAACTCCTGGGCTTAAGGGATCCTCCCATCTCAGCCTCCTGAGTAGCTACAGGCATGCCTAGTTAATTTTTTAAAAAAATTTTTTTGTAGATATTATTAAGTCTCTCTGTGTTGCCCAGGCTTGTGTCAAAGTCCCAGGCTCTAGCAGTCCTCCTACCTTGGCCTCCCAAGGTGCTAGCATTACAGACATGAGCCACTGTGCCCAGCCTGTTATGCTTCCTTTGCAAATGAGAAACCAAGGTGTTAACAGGTTAGGAGCAGAAAGTGGAACAGTGTGCCTCACACATGGTGAATGCTTAGAGGAACAAATGAGTGGCTGAGCAGTCCTGCCCAAGATCAGTCACACAACTAAGTGCTCCAGCCTAGATTTGACTAAGGCCGACTCAGCCAGCACACTACACGTCTTTATTTGGATGAAGCGAGAACATTTATGAGGAGAAATAAAATGTACCTAGATGACAGGATTTGAACACTCAAGGAATTAAAACTGGCTTCACTGATGAAATAATAAAAGAAGCAGTAGAGTGTTGAGGATAAGAGTCTTAATCTTCAGAGTCAGAAAGATAGGAGTTAGAATCCAGCTTCTTATCCTCACTAGTTGTGTGACTTCCCTGAGTGACAGTTTCACCTCTCCTTGCCTCAGTTTGTCCTCTGTAAAATGGAGTAGTCATCATTTCTTAATGGGAATGTGTAATTAAGAGGAGGGTGACACATGAAAGGTTATTAACACCGGTCTTGGCACATGGTAAGTGCTATTACTATAGCAGTTTTGGTTGTTAAGAAAGGCAAATGACCTAATGGGAATGGTTAAATCTGACAGCAGCACCCAGGACAAATCAGAATAGTAGTTGTTGAAGCCATCCAGGTATCAAGGATTACCCACAAGAGAGTGGCAGCAGGAATGAGAAAAGGGGGGAGAAGTTAATGAATCAGAGAGACAATGTAAAAGTACAATCAATCAGAGCGTAGTGGCAAATTTATGAGGCATTTCATATGTTTCTAGAGAATTCTGAGGTGATTGTTGACAGCTTGTCACTGGAGTTAGTATTTAAAATCCCTTTAAAATCCCAACCTTAAGAACTATGGTTGTTCTAATTATGATATCCTTATTATATTCGCAAAACTTACTTTCCCTTCTGGCTACCCACCACCACCACCACCACCACCACTAAAATAATATCAAGGTTGTTTATAGATTGTGAGATCTAAAACAATCCACCTATTCCCTGCACCCCAGGTAAGTCCCTGCTTAAACAAGGGCTGCTGATTGAAAACCATTGTCTGTTTTATTGCAGTGCAAGCAGCTAATGATTCAGTCTGTAGACTCCAACAGAGGGAGCAGGAACGAAAAAAGGTAAAAGTAGATCATTTAGATAATGGGGCATATAACTAGTGGGTATGTATTATCATTATGTGCTTAGCAATTACTGTTGATGAGAATTCTCTGAATTTATTTTCTTTTATGCAATTTATAAAGACTAAAACTTGGTGAATTCATTGAGTATGTATGTATTGAGGAGGTGTAGTAACTTGGCCTCTCCAACAGTATTTTTATACTTCAAATTCCATAACTCTTTTTTCCTTTTCAACATTTTCATCTTTTCCCTGAAAGTGGCATTTGTCTCATGGATGAGAGACACAATAGGGACTTTCACTTGTAGCAACAAATAACCACCAGATTGGAAAGATAAATTTTTCCATTGAGCCTGAAGCATTGAGTACATTATGTATATGTCTTCTTGAGAAGGAAGCATTCATGCCTGTGGATGGGTTATTTAATGAATAGTCATAGGATTATGTGAATCACTGTGTATCTTAACTAATTCAGATGTGGAAAAACAGCGTAAGAATTTAAGTTCCTGTGATAGTTTGATGTTTTTACTTGCAATTTTCGTGAAGTATTTTTGTAACTTATTCATTGCTCTAAATCAGGCGTTCTCAAACTATGGCCCGCGGGCCACATGCAGCCCGCTGAGGACATTTATCCGGCCCGCCAGGTGTTTTTGCCACCATTGCCTGTCCTGCTTAGCTGCCGACTTGTCCCAGGGCCCGCAGTCTGGCCCTCCAACGGTCTCAGGGACAGTGAACCGGTCCCCTGTTTAAAAAGTTTGAGGACCCCTGCTCTGAACTAACAATGATACATCTTACGCTTATAAAGAAATGTTGAAAATACTAAGTCACTCTGAAAATAAAGCCTTTTTGCATATGTATGTGTTGACAAATGTTAAAATCTCCATTTCTCTGGAATGTGTTGTGGTTAATCCACAATAATAATTTTGATCTGTACTATATAAAAATATAATGGAAGAAACCTTCCCAGAGTTTCTGTTTCTACACTGTCTGCTCAATTCTAGATGTTAATATAAAGTTTGAAAATTCAATTGTTTGATGGGTTAAGCTTTACCAAAAGTACTTGATATTTAAGACAGGTGAGAAGTCTGCCCAAGGGTAGCAGGATCCACCTGGCCAGGTCAGGGAGCAGGGGCATTGCTGAGCACAGGGATGGAATGTGGAGGCAGAGCTGGAATCGGGAAAGTTAGTGTTAGGGTGTGGTGCTGTACTGTGCTCAGAAAGTGCTGTAAAGGCAGGCAGCTAGGGGCACCCACAGAGCTCCTTCATCTTGTAAAACTAAGACTCCGTACCTGATAAACAGCAGCTGCCCCCTCCATTCTCTTCCCCACTCCTGGCAGCCACCCTCCTGCTTTCTGTCTCTGTGAATTACTGCTCTGTGTACTGCATAGAGTACTGTCCTACGGCATGTCGTACTTATAAGCAGAGTCAGACACTGTTTGTCTTTGTTGCTGGCTTGTTTATTCAGATTAATGTCCTCAGGATTCATTCACGTTCTACAGTGTTGCCCTCCTTTTTTTAGGCTGAATAATATTCCACTGTAGGTGTTTACCACATTTTGTGTATCTGTTCTCCTGTGGACACAGGTTATATCCACCTTTCAGCTATTGTGGTAACACTGCTGTGAACATGGCTGCACAAATATTTGTTCAGGTCCCTGATTTTAATTCTTAAGTGGAATTACTGGATCCTATGGTAATACTATGTTTAATTTTTTTAGGAATGTTCCATATAGACAGATTTACCAAAAAGCCAAGGTTTTGATCTTCTTTAAGCACAGTGATTTTATTATTTTAACTATTTTGGATGAAAATCTTTAAAAATATATTCCATGCCTTTTTTCTTTTCCTTTTTGTGAGACAGAGTCTTTCACTCTATCACCTTGGGTAGAGTGCTGTGGCATCATAGTTCATAGCAGCCTCAACTCTCGGGTTCAAACCATCCTCTTGCCTCAACCTCCTGAGGAACTGGGACTATAGGCACCCACCACAATGCCTGGCTAATTTTTTTTTTTTGTTTGGTAAAGGCTGGTCTCACACCTCTGAGCTCAAATCGTCCACTCCCCTCTGCCTCCCAGAATGCTAGGATTATAGGCATGAACCACCATGCCAGCCTTTTTTTTTTTTTTTTTTTGGCCAGGGCTGGGTTTGAACCCGCCACCTCCAGCATATGTTGCTGGTGCCCTACCCTTCTGAGCCACAGGCACCGGCCACTAGCCTATTTTTTAAATTTATTAATGCTACAGGTTTTAACTTTCTGTAAGAATTAGGCATTATTGAGAATATCAAATTTTGTACTGAGAGATTGTGTTATGTCTCTATTCCAAAAGTCCTCAGATACTCTGTATTCTAAGTTTTTGTTCTTTCTCTCCTTTGTTGTAAGTCTGATGCCTGTCATATCTTCTTCACTTGTTTGTCAGCCTTTTATTTTTCTAATTTGCGATTTTTAATATTGTGTAGTCATGGAAACCAGATAACTAAACTGATTAGAATTGTATTTAATATCGCTCAAATAAGTTCAGAATCAAAAAAGCTTATCATAAATACTCTGAAACATTTGTAAATGAACTTTGTGATTATCACCTTTTTGATGGCTTAAAGTTATTACCACATAGGACTAAGTTTCAGGTAGATGTTTTTTCAGGTAGCTGAGTTTTTATATGTGAATACTATAGGATTGTCAATACATGGACGTATAGACGCCCCTCCTCCAACCCCCTTTCTTTCTTTAGTAATTATTGTGAAGACTGCAAGAATGCATAGCAATTATTATTAATGGTGGGAGATTAACATAAAGTGAGGTGACTTTGAGAACATCTTAATAAGACAGCAAGACTAGTTTTCATTTGGGCTGGGAGTTGTCAGCCTTCATCTTACTTTTACCTGGACTGTGAGGCTAGTAGTTAACAGTGGATGCATCACGGAGGATTGAATTGAATATATGTAGCCCCAAAGTTACAAACATCTGACTTATGAATGGAGACAATTACAATAAGTCCCTGAGTTACAAACATCCGACTTATGGATGGAGACAATTGCAATAAGTCCCCGAGTTACAGACATCCCACTGATGTATGACTTGCATTTACAAAAGGAGGCAGATAACAGGTAAATGTACCTGTTCCAAATTACATGCAAATTCAATTTAAGAATGAACCTGCAGAACTCATCCCATTTGTAACCCAGGAACTGCCTGTGTAGGAATGGGAGGCAAAGACTATTACTTTTATTTAAATTATCTATATTGTTTGAATTATTACACGAATCTGTTGCTTAAATTAAATGATTAAAATTAAAGGTCAAAAACTGAAGTGGCAAGAGGTTAAACAGCGATCTGCCTTCAAGATACTGCATAAAATTTGTATAATAATTTTTAACTCTTTTTAAGAACCTCAGGCATAGCTAGGAACTTGACATATATTACCTCTCCTCTTCTTTAAAAAGAAATGAATAAATTAAATAACATCTGAGCATGCATGTTTAATATTCTCTGTTTATTAAAAGTAAAGCTAAAGCAAAATGCCATTTTGATCAAGTTTATTTGTATTTTTGTATCTTTGTCTGCTTTGGCTTTTTCTCTTAAACTGGTAACAGTTTTTACTAATGTTCCATCAAAAGTTTAATAAACTCTTCGTGCATTTTGTGGAGAGTTACAGTTCATAAGGCTGAGAAGTTAAAAAGTAATATGCTGGCTTGGTGCCCATAGCACAGTGGTTATGGCAGCAGCCACATACACCGAGGCTGGTGGGTTTGAACCCATCCCAGGCCTGCTAAACAGCAATGACAACTGCAACAAAAAAAATAGCCAGACATTGTGGTGGGCACCTATAGTCCCAGCTCCTTGGGAGGCTGAGGCAAGAGAATCACTTAAGCCTGAGAGTTCGAGGTTACTGTGAGCTGTGATGTCACAGCACTCTACTGAGGGTGACATAGTAAGACTTTGTCTCAAAAAAAAAAAAAAAGTAATATGTTGAATTTTGTTTAACCCATTTCTCAAATGTACTGGATAAGCAAACCCCTCCCTAACCCTCTCTCCTCATTATTGTAATACCTATTCAGGTCCCAAGAATCTGTGGGGCATGTTTTATGGGAATAATTGAGTATCACTCAAACTTCTGATTCACTTCAACAACTTTGCAGTTGAAAAGTCTTGCTGCTAAAAGGTCTTGCTGCTGAGGAACTTCACATCAGCTTGGCAGAAGAGCTTTTACAAGTTTTTGTCTTGTAAAAGAGTTGTATACATGTAAAACTTCCTCTGGGAGGATCTGATTTGTGCTTTTGACAGAAAAAGCCTAGGTTTAGGTGTCAGAAAAACCTAAGTTTGAATCTACAACCCTAGGAGACTATTAGGTGACTGACCCAGGAAAATAAAGAAGTGCCCATAAGCCTTAATTTCTTTGTAAAATGAAAATAATCTTACAAAGAGGGGTTTATAGAAATAGATAAACAATGCAAAACAACTAGCCTAAATAGGCATTTCATAGGTTCTTAGAGCATTTGAGTTTATCTACCTGTCATCCTGCCTGTCATCGTGATCCAAATGAGAGAGAAAAAGCACATTGTAGATGGCCTGAAAACTTGGTTTCCATCTATTTCCTGGTGGCTGGGGGTAGCATCTGGGTTGCCCTTATCTGAGTGTTCCTTCCTCATCAGAGCTCTGAAATTAACTTGGTGGAATTAGTAATGACTTCAGGTGTTTTGTAGGTTTATATGGTTTACATCTGTCACAGTTTTATTTGTTTAATAGGACTTAGTCTGTATCAAAACTTAACTAGTAGGCTCGGCGCCTATAGCTCAACTGGCTAAGGTGCCAGCCACATACACCTAAGGTGGTGGGTTCGAATCCCCAGCCCGGACCTGCCAAACAACAATGATGGCTGCAACCAAAAAATAGCCGGGCGTTGTGGCGGGTGCCTGTGGTCCCAGCTACTTGGGAGGCGGAGGCAGGAGACTCGCTTGAGCCCAGGAGTTGGAGGTTGCTGTGAGCTGTAATGCCACGGCACTCTACCCAGGGGGACAGCTTGAGGCTCTGTCTCAAAAAATAAAAAAAAAAAAACTTAACTAGTAAAGACATGCATGTAGAATAGTTGAAGTAGAGTTAAAAAGTTTCTTTTTCTTTTTCTTTATTTTTTTTTTGAGATAGTCTTACTCTGTCGCTCTCAGTAGTTATATGTTCAAAATTAATATAAATTATACTTTGGGAAGATAAAAACTAAATGCCTTTTTTTCTTCCAGTGTTTCATCTGTATTGTAATGCTGATAAATGATCTTTTCATCCTTATATAGAAATATTAAGGAACATTTCAAGAAATACTTAGATATTTGACATAGGTATTTTAGGTATTGGTTTCAAGCCCCAGAATTGAATCAGAGATTTCTTGAATTTTCTTCCAGTGACTAATAATCTGTGGGTTTTTTCTTTTCTTTTCTTTTTTTTTTTTTTTTGAGACAGAGTCCTACTATGTCTCCCTTAGTAGAGTGCCGTGGTGTCATAGCTCACAGCAACTCAAACTCTTGGGCTTAAGTGATTCTCTTATATCAGCCTCCCAAGTATCTGGGACTACAGGCGCCCACCACAATGCCCGGCTATTTTTTTGTTGGAGTAGTCATTGTTGTTTAGCTGGCCTGGGCTGGGTTTGAACCTGCCAGCCTCAGTGTATATGGCTGGCGCCCTACCCACTGAGCTGCGGGCACTACCAATCTTTGATTTTTTTAATGTACCTAAAAATATTTCCTGTATGACAGGCATTTAAGTTTCTTAACAATAATGAGTCTTTTACTGTATATTTTTAAGAATATATTTAATAATCTTCAGTTAAAAGAGCATTTGTGGTACAGGTATAAGATAAAGTTGTGAAATAATTGTCTGGAAAGTGTCATATGACTTTGAAATTTTCTCTTCTCAGATTCATAATGACCATTTAATAGCTAGTGAGAAGCAGCATGTACTCCAGTGGGAAGACTTCATGAAGAAACAGCCCAGCAAAAGGGCTGAAGTGGATGAAGAACACAGAAAAGCCGTGGAGAAGCTCAAGGAACAGTACGCTGAGATGGAGAAGGACCTAGCAAAATTTTCAGTCTTTTAAGAACCTAAACCACAGCAGTGACAAACGAATGAGAAAACATTTGCCTCCTGCCTAAGAAATATTCCCACCAAACCATCTAGCCTCTGCTTCAAGTTTAGCAATATATTCAGTGGCACTCATATCGGAAGAAAGACACTCCTGCTGGAGTTCTGATTAAATGTTTAATAGAAGGAGAGTGCTGCATTTGTCTGCTTTTAAGTGCCTATATATGATTATTTGAATGGGGAGGAAGAGGGAAAATGGGATGAATATACTTTTTGTTAACTAGAATCGATCTTTTCCATTGATTAGGCCAGAGAACTGTAAATGTAGATTTTTTTTTAGAGAGAAAGATAATTGAATTCACTCTGCTACAGGGTTAATAATTAGTTTATTGTGGCTGTAGGCAGGTATAAAAGCTGCCCGTCATAGCCTCCTTGACTCCTTGGAAGAATGTATAAAGTGTTATTACGTGAGTAATGTAAACAAAAAAAAACCAGTTGTCCTTGCAGCAGCGATCGTATTTAAGAGACGTGAAAGCAGCAGCATTGTCTCCACCCCGGCAAAATGGCCACGTGGGTCTCTGCACTGCCCCTTGGGAGAGGGTGCAGATTTTGCAGTACCGCATAATGCTGTGGGCTTCACTGGGTGACAAGACGTGTTAAGTTTTGTGGCCTTCTAGCTTAGTATTTTCAGCTCTTATTAATAAAAGATGTATAGAAAAAAAAAACTTACCAAAAATATATTTTTGCTTTTTTTTTTTCCAAGAACTATAATCTTGCCCATAGCATTTACCTCATTTTTATGTCTGTTTTGCTGTGGGTAAGCTATAAGATAAATAAAGTCTATACATGTTTCAACTGTTTAATGAGTAATCAACAAAATCTGCCAAGGAGTCCCTCTGGAACCGTGTAAGATTCTGGCTCTGAATGATCCAGAAGTGTTTGCCCACATGGCAAATGATCCATGTTAAATGTAAATCCTTTCTAGTGTTAATTTCTGATCTGGCAAGCAGGTATGTTATGATGAAGCATGTACCAAGTCTGTCATCACTGTGATCCTTCAAAATCTGCATTTAATAATCTAATTGAAGAACTAAGTTGATTTTTTATTTGCCATAAACCAAGCAAAAAGTAAATGCAATAATTTCAGGAGATTTATGGTAAATGAATTTGAGGGATGGATAAATCTTTCAAATATTATTTATTGCTCTTTAGTAAAGAAAGGCACAAGAAGGAAAATATCCAACTCTCTTGTGTTATCTCAGTGTTGCAACTGCAGAAAATTGACAATGCTTGCCTGTGTAAATTTATGGCTTACTGTCAAAGCTTCATTCTTGGCCGCGTGTTGAAAATGTGATTAAAGTTAATAGAGGAGATGAAATAAGTATTTGAGATTTCTTTCAATAACACTGAACTTCTGCCAACTTTCTCTGTCTGCTACTGTAGGCTTGACAGGCTCATCAATCATGCACTGGTACCTGGGCTAAAAAGAGCACTTGCTGACACCAAGGCATGTTGGAATTTTTTTAATTCTCTTTCAGGGGATGGAAAGAAAAAAATATTTCCAAAAATATCCCACAAATGAAAAGGGAAGGGAACCTTAAATGAAAATTCCCTTTGTACCGTAGACACTTTTAGAAATGCGATTAATTGCCAACACACCATTGAACAGATGTTGTAACCAAGAAATCAAAGGGGGGTGTGTGTGTGAATGGTAACAAAGTCTTAACTGTGGCTACCCAACTTGTGCAGCAAGGATTTCTGGATAGTGTTTGTTCATCTCACATGAGTAATAAATACTTTATAAGTTTGTGTGTATAAGTATCTAATAGTCTTCCTATGCCAAAATAAGGTGATGGGCTTTTTGAGCTATCAACATTAAGATAGTCGATTATTTCTTTGTAAATTGGTTGCTGTTCAATGTAGTTTCTCGAAAAGTCTGTTTATCTTCCTTCTGATAGTTTTAATGGTGAACACTCTTGCTTCTATTTCCCAGTCTCCAGATCATTTTGTATGTATTTTATTTATATATAAAATTAATTTTAATAATCTCTGAGCAGAGATACTATGGGTTCCGTGTAGCTCTTAGGATTATTGTAATGAAATGTTTTGCAATTTTAAAGCACTTTAGAAATATTTGTTTTTAAGCTGTAAGTATTTTCTATTTGTCATTGTGATTTCTTTTTTGACTTAAAAATGTGTGAGGTTTTTCCTAGCACGTAGATTTTTAAATTTTGTAATTATTGATTCTGACTTTAACTGAATTGTGTTCAGAGAATAGATACATATAAGACTGATCTGTTGAAATTTGTTGAGCCTTCCTTCATGACCTAGAATATCATCAATTGTTGTAAATGTTTTAAGAGTGCTTGACAAGTATACATATTTTTTAGCTGTTGGGTGTCCCTTATACCAAGATTTTTAATGGTGTCATTCAAATTCTTTCTCTTTCACTGTTCTTTTTTTCTTCTATTTGATCTCAGATTCTGGGCTGTACTGTGATTTCCTATTGTAATGGATTTGCTAATTTCTCCCTATAATTCTGTCAGTTTTTGTTTTATATATTTTGAAGTTTTGTTATTAGGTACATACAAGTTTAGAATTATCTTCCAAGTTTAGAATTAATTATCATTGTCCTAGTCCCTGTTTCTAGTAGTGTTTATATTTCTTTTTTCTATGAATTTCAAAATAGTAGGGGAGTACAAATGTTTGATATATGGATATCTTTTGTAATGCTTAAGCTGAAACTTGAGTGTGCCCACTGACCAAACTGTGTTCATTGTACCCAGTAGGTAGCTTTGTATTCCTCCTCTCCTCCCCCACCTCCTCCTTGATTTCCAGTGACCTTTACATCTCTTTGTACCTGTGTGACCATCGATTAGTTCCCAGATATTAGGGGGTACATCTAGTGGTTTTTTTCCTATTCCTGAAGTACTTTACTTAGGAGAATGGTCTCCAGTTTCATCCAAGTTGCTGCAAAATACATTATTTCATTCCTTTTCATGTCTGAATAGTACTCCACTTTTTCTTAGTTTATTCATGAATTTATGGGCATTGGGTTGATTCCACATCTTTCCTTGTAAGTTGTACTGCAATAAACATTTTAGTGAAGGTAAAATGACTTCTTTTCCTTTGGGTAAAAACCAGTAGTGGGATTGCTGGATTGAATGGTAAGTCTAAATTTATTTTCCTTGAGAAATCTCCATACTGTTTCCGTAAAGATTGTACTAATTTGCAGTCCCCCCAACAGTGTATATTTTCCTTTCTTTCTGCATGACAGTATCTTCCATGCCATCATCTATTGTTTTTTGACTCATTAATAATGGCCTGACAGTGCTAAGGTGATACTGTGGTTTTAATTTTCATTTGCCTTATGAATAGTGATGTACAATTCTTCATATGTCTATTGGCCGTTTGTCTACCTTCTCTGGAGACCTTTCATTCATTTTATGTTGCTTTAAAATTGATTTTTTTTTCACTTATGTAGGCCACACCAGCTGGTTAGATTAATATGGTTTATATTTCTTTATGCTTTTGGACCTTTCTGTTATGTTTTTGATATGCCTCTTAAAAAATGTAACTAGATTTTTTTTATCTGGTTTTTTTTTAACTAGAGAGTTTAATCCATTTCCTATTTGTCAAAATTACTATGTTAGGATTTATTTATTCCATCGTATTTTGTGCTTTTTATTCCACTTTTTCTGTTTCTTCTGCTCTTGTGTTCTTGCCTTCCTTTGGAATGAGTTTTATTTTGGTTTTCCATCTGTTTTTCTTCTAATTTAAAAGTTAAGTGCTCAATTTTTATGTTTTAGTGTTTACTAAGAAATTTAACTTGCATAGTTAACAAAATCTAGAGTTAATATCTTTCTTCTTAAACATGACTTTTACAAAGTCTAATTTCCTCTCCTTGACTTGGAAATTATTGTCTAGAATTTTAATCTTGCTTTAACTCCAGAAGTAGTTATTATGTAAAGTCAGTGTTTAGACTTACCTAGAAGTTTACCATTTTATTATCCTTGAAAGTTTACTGGGATACAATTCTAGATTGACAAGTTGAAAGTTATTTTCTCTCATTGTTTAATATTATTGCACTGTTGTCTTGCTTCCATTGTTGCTTTTGAAATGACAGAGGTCAGCCTCATCAGTACTCCTTTGTAGCTAATCTGTGTTCTTTCTCAAGTCAAATTTCAGATCTTTATCTTTGGTGTTCTGCAATAAAATTCTGCTATACCACAAGGTGTTTAGCTGTGCATTTTTTTTCCTTATCCTATTGGGATTCATTTGAGCTTCCTAAATCTGAGAATTAATATATTTCATGAATTCTGAAAAATTATCAGCTATTAACTTTTTGAATATTATATTTCCCCCGTTTTCTATCTATTTACTCCTTCAGGAAATCACATTAGACTTTGTTTTACCATCTTCCTCTCTTCTCCATAAATTTTAATGTTTATCTCTTTGTCAACTCTGGATAGTGTCTTTAGATCTGTTTCATGATACATTTCATTAATTCTGTCTTCTTTCTGTCACTAACCTATTTAACCCAAATATTGAGTTATTAATTACAGTTATTATATTTTTTTCATTTCCAGAAGTGTTATTTGGTTCTGTCTCTTGAGTTTCTTGGTTGTTTGAGATAGTTCCATTTTCTTCTCTTTAAACATATTAAATATAATTATTTTACATTCTGTATGTGGTAATTTGAATATTTTTCTTTTTTGTGGATCTGAATCTATAGTTTGTTGTTTGTTTTTGCTGAAACAGTAAGTCTGGGGTGAGTTCATATTTCTCTGAACTTGATTTTTGGATATTTTTTATTTAACGTGCATTCCTACAGGAAAGATTTTTATTCCTCGACCACCATTTGTTTCTCGAGACACTACAAATCCTGGACCACTTCAAAATCAGTGTTTGATTTTGGGCCCCTGCCCCTTCCTCCTCTACTGCATGGTGCTCTCGTGTGTGCCTGCATGTGTGCACACACTCATGAAGTGTGGATTTCAGCCCCAAACACGTGGTTCTGGGGCTATGATGAGGCATTCCTAGCAGAGATTTTTTTCTTCCTTTATAGCCCCCCTTGGAATAAAGAAGAAGGATGAAGGATAAGTTTAAGTGTTTTTCTAGTTTACCTATTGAGGGTAGTGCCCTCTGGGGATTTACTACTGTAGCTCATCCAGCTCAATGCCTGCTATGGACTAGATTGTGTCCACCCAAAGTTCATAGGCTGAAGCCCTAACCTCAGCATGACTGTACTTGAAGACAGGGGCTGTAAGGAGGTAAATAATATTAGATGAGATCATAGGGTGGAGCCCTAATCTTAAAGAACTGGTGTCTTTATAAGAAAAGAGACACCAGAGCTCTCTCTTTCTGTGTACACAGAGGAAAAGTCATGTGAGGACAAAGCAAGAAGGCAGTCACTGCAAAACAGAGGGGCCTTACCAGAAACAAACTTTTCAGCCTTTCTTTTTTTTTTTTTAAGAGATAGTCTCACTCTGTTGCCCCCATTAGACTGCTGTGATATCATAGCTCACAAGAAACAACCTCAAACTCAAACTCTTAGGGTCAAGTTATCTTCTTGCTTCAGCCTCCTGAGTAGCTGGGACTACAGGTACCTGCCACAATGTCTGACTTGTTTTTATATTTTTAGTAGAGATGGGGTCTCTCTCTTGTTCAGGCTGGTCTTGAACTCCTGAGCTCAGGCAATCCACTTGCCTCAGCCTCCGCAAGTGCTGAGATTACAGGTACGAGCCACTGTGCTTGGCCAAGTTTTTAGCATTCAGACTAATTGGTTCCAGATGAATAAGAAAATAAATTTCTGTTGTTTAAGCCATGCAACCTATGATCTTGTTATGTCAACTGGGGAAGACTGAGACTGTCCCTGACTCTGTACATGTCTCTTTAAAGTTGGGGCCTTTCTACACTCTAGGGATGAGGCTGATTGTAGGACAATTACCAGTTCCAGAGTTAAATTACCCAGTAGAATTTCACCATCTCCTAGTCTGCCTTCATTGGTTTTCATTAATTTGCCCTAAATTTAGCTAAGAATAAAAAATAAGAGTTGAGATATTTTTCCTAGCATTTTTGGTATCAGTAGCTAGAGATTTCTATTTATAGAAATAAATAGTATGTTAGAATAAGTCTATGGTGGTTTTATTTTATAAAAATTTCTCCCTAAAAGAACGTGCCCATATTGTATAATAGTATAAAAGATGACACCTTTTCTTCAATCATTATAGCAAATACTTTCTATTTGATTATTTCTTCTCATCTGTAAACTAATAAGATTGTTTCTATTTCTTCCATTGGACTATTTTTAACTATTCATGAGTTAATTAAGGCAAATATTAATAAGAGTTTAGTAATCTTGTTCTGAACCTGTATAACTCTTATCTGAATATTTAGTTTGGGATGTTTTATTTAGAACCTTATTGTAGTTAGTGAAAATGTCTCAGGCTACTATTCTGGACATACAGATACAGGGAGTTGGACTAATTTGTGGTACTAAATCTATTAGTGCTATGAAAATCTGAAGGAATCACAAATGCCTCTAAGATAAATACCGAATTCTCTTCTTTGCCCCTGTAATACATTGGCTTTCTATCTGAACGTTTCTATTTTCTGTTTCAACACTTTTCTAATGTGCACATGTTTCGATGTATTGGGTTCTGGTTTCTATTGCAAATTAAAAGGTAGAGGGATTTTTTTGCTTTGGAATTAGCATAATGACTGCCTACCCTGGTATTGTACCCTGCAGGCTCTTTTTGCCACTCTAGACTGTAAGTCTATATCTCAGGCTGAAAAATA